TGGGTAAAGGCAGTAATTTACAGTAAAATAATATTTAAATCTCAAACTAACTAATTAATTAAACATATTTCATGCAGCGGGTGATGATATAATTGCCTATGTGTTTGCCTGTTTGCAAAATATCTCTTGAACCACAGAGTGATAGCAAACGGCACAAGATATTTGGAATGCCAGGGGTAGGCCATATGCAAGTTTTTAAAATAACGTCTCTTTTCGTCATTTTTTTCCCCATTTTCTCAGAAGCAACAACAGCATACAAGTCTAATGAGATAAGGGTGTTTCAGAGTTCTGTTCGCTGTCTGATATAACAAACAGATGCATAAAAAAACAACCATTGCTGATGAGAATGTTTTTGCCTATGTATGCATGTGGCTGTTTGTTAACATGAACACAATGTGTGAATTTTGAAACGTCAAGAAAATAATCATTGAATGTACTGTACATCTACAACTGATCTCACAGCCAACATAAGAAAACACAAAAATGTTAATAACATGAAAACTTTTACTCGTGTTGTGCCCTGTCACACTAAAACATTTTAGACAATTTGTGAGAACTTATAAAAAGTTTGTTCAACACTAAATATGTCTAAGCTGAAGATGGTATGAAGACCAACAGAATAAAGGTAATTCTGTTTATCACAATCACATTTAAATTTATATGCATTTATTTTGATAACTCTGAAACCAGAAGTATGGTACTGGGATTTAGTTTGACATAAAAAAGTAGACAAAGGTGAAACTTAGCAGAGTCAGTGGCAACATTGAGAAAGGATCACAGAAGAGGTTGAAAGACAACTCAAGTTTAGCTTCAGTTGATAGTGGAACAAGGTTTGTAACTAATTTTATTATATTTGAGTTGCTTGAAATGTTTATGGTTATGTTAATGGAAAAAATGTTCAGTGTAATGAGCTATGCCTATCAATGGATGGTGAAAACATTTAAGTATTTTAATTTTTTTTTATCTAGCTCTTATGTTGGTTAATGACACGGATGGCTTCAATAAATCATCATTTAACCATCAGTACTGGTCTTCTTGATATTGACTGGATGCTATAGATGGAAGTGAAAAAAAAATCTAATGGAAGCCTCTTTTGGACCAATGAACAATTAAATCTAATATACACTAAAAACAGATGGATTATAATGGATAATAATGGATAATGGATTTAATTTAAAAAAGTCAACTGGTTCCACTTAACTCAACGGAGAAAAGGTAACACATTTACTTTGTTTCATTTACATTTACAGATTTTTTTTAGTGTATAGCCTGCATAAGTAAAATATTAATAACAAAATTTCACAAGTAAGCATAAGTTGTCTAAAACATTATAGTGTGACGGCCTTAAAATTTGATGTGTGAGTAGTTGAGACAGATCTCTAACATTCTGAGATTGCACAAGATATTTTCTTAAAGTACACACATGCTTTTAAATCCTTCTCTTTCACATGCTGAGGTGTGTCTGAGAACAACTTGTTTTGGTGCTGTCTCTTTAAATGCAAGTGAGGTGTTTCACACACTGCTGCTCTCCACCCCACTTGGCCATTTTTGTAGTTTGATAGCGGAAAAGTTTTTTTCCTATTTACAATTTAATAAAAAGATGTCAACAACAGACTTGTCCATCCAGCCTTACATGTTGGAGCCAGAGTCTGACCCAGAGCCAGAGGAGAATGAAGACGACGAACCTGCAGAACCACGGATTCTCTAAATTTGTTAACAGGAAGTTTATGTCCTTGTTTAGCAGTTCTGTAGTAAATACTGTGACATTATTGTTCAAAAAATGTAATAAGGAACAGCAAAAACTGAACGGAGTGAAAATTATGACCCTAACAGAAGATATCTTTGCAGCATTGGTAGAGATTGAATTCACATTTTCTGCTCTACAGGCTATAAGTACACAACAACATGTATTTAAGGATTAAAAAGGTGGATTTTGAATATGTCCTCTTTAAAGCCTTATTAATAATCACTAGAGTTAGCATTGTCACACAAGAATAATATGTTCAATCATTTTTTAAAGCAAACCCTAAGAGCACATGAGTGGGGGGTAAATCCCAACATAAAATGGCTGCTTTAAAAACAGATGTGAATAAATGTGAAAAGAATTTTATTTTTTGACTGAAGTGACTCAGATATTTTATTAGGGCCAGAAAATTGCGTCAAATAGCTAAAAATAAAGGAATCACACAATTTTCAAGAAATATACATATGTACAAAATATGCATAAGAGGCACGAGTAGGAGCACATTCACATTCTTGCACATAAGTACATAAGCCTTTGCCTCAGCTCAGAAGCTTGTAATTTGTTTTCAGTGTTTTCTATCAGCTTTATGTTTTTTAAGGCTGTAAGTGAAGCACTTTCAGCAGCCCTTGAGAATTAAATGTTCTTTAAAAATAAACATGCCTTGCTTCTATTGCTTTCATCTGCGTTCTGTCCCCGTTCACCATCCAATTAAACCGTTCATCCTCAGCGATAATCACACCAGCCTGTCCCTGACTCTTATTTCTACCTACATTCAACACTGGGTTTCAAAAAAAAACAAAACAAAACAAAAAAAAAAAACAATGTTCCTGCTTAAAACACAAAGATTTCAACAATGAAAGTGATGTTTCTTTATCTCGCTTATACCTTAATCAATTAAAGGCCCAGCATTCCTTGAAGGAATCCACATTGCCTATCCACTTTCATGCAAGAAGATTGTCCTGTGATGAAACTATGAGGTTTTGGTCAAACCTTAGTGCCTTCTCAGGTGATCTTTTAGCCCCCTTGGAGTATGTGTAGGGGATGACTCTCAGCTACTAACACACCCACGTTTAGCTCGAAAACTGATAATTTGAATTGAAGCCATTTATGAGTTGATTAAGGTCAGTGAGCTGTGATGACCATCTTGAAACTGTGTTGACTCCACATTTTACTTCCTGGAAGTTTCACTAAATTCTGTTCGGTGCTGAATGAAACATGGTTGCTAACAGACAGACAGTGTTGAATTTAACAGTTAATACCAAAGTTTTGAGAAAAGATGTTGCAACAATGTATAGAGCTTGGGTTGTGTATTGAGGAGGACTCCCAGCTACTACCACACCAAACTTTAGCTCAGTAGAGTCAACAGAGCTACAGGCATGTTTTGTTGGCTAATGTTGATCAGCTGTTGTGGTCATCTTAATTTGCAATGACCCCAAAATGTAATCAATTGTAGGTCACTAATTACTTTTAGCAGGTTTTATTACAATTTGTTCCATGACTGATGAGATATTTTGCTAACAGATTGACAGGGTTGAACAGATAACAGGATGTTTGAAGCAAAGATCCTCCACATTGTGTAGCTCTCAGAGCAACCCATTCTCACTCCTGATTCGTCACATATTGACACTTTTCCAAAGTGCCCTCTGCGTCCCATTTTGACGCGTCGGGTACCCCTTCATGTCAGTTATTGACGAGATGGGGCGGAATCTGTAGTCATAATTTCAGAAAGTGTAGAAAATGCACAAAAACTACCGTTCCAAAGCCTAAAATTACCTTAATTCACTTTAGACATCCTGTCCCTGACCCTAGTACCTAAAATTAAAGGCACAGTGTGTAGGATTTGTTGTTTTCAGCGACATCTAGTGGTTGAGTGGTTGAATCATCCTCCCTGGTCCTCCCCCCACCCCCACCCCCC